GTGTATAGGAAATGAATGGTTGTTATAGAGTAAAATATATTGGTCATATGTTGACAGGTTTTGAAGCTAGGTGATGAGTATGTAAGTGTTTATAATATTAAACTCTTTATTTTTGTGAATATTTCAAATTTTCCTTAATTAAACATTATTTTTCTTAAGTCATGCTGTTAAACCTATAGAGAAAATGTTGAAAACATTCTATTTTTGACCTTTTAAGAAATAAATGGCATGAAATGAAATAGTGTCATACTTTGTTCTTTAAATGCTTTAATTGATGAGCTTTATTTACAATAAATATTTTTACTATATACTACCCTGTTTCCCCGAAAATAAGACAGTGTCTTATATTAATTTTTTTCTCCCAAAGTTGTGCTAGGTCTTATTTTCAGGGGATGTCTTATCTTTTCATGCGCTAGGTCTTATTTTCGGAGGATGTCTTATTTTCGGGGAAACACGGTAGTACATTACTGAATAAGTCAGCATATTAAATGGTGAGATCATGATCTTGTCAATATTTTAAAACTTTACTGATTTTATTGATTATATATTCTTCATAGACATAGCATTTAGTTTGACAAGTAATAGATAGAACTCCAGTCCTATATAATAAAAGCCTAATAGGCAATTTGACTGAATGGACACTATGACATGCACTGATCACCAGGGGGAAGGCATTGAACTCTCGAGCTATGTCCTGCTGATCAGGGGAAGAGCCACTCAGCCAGGAGCCAGGCTCACGGCTGGTGAGCGCAGTGGTGGTGGAGGGAGCCTCTCTTGCCTCCGTGGCTACCCTAAGGATGTCTGACTGTTGGACATCTCCCGAGAGCTCCTGGACTGCGAGAGGAAGCAGGCAGGGCTGAGGGACAGTTCCCGACCCTGTGCACAAGTTTTTGTGCACCAGGCTTCTAGTAACATAATAAAAATGTAGGTTCCCTTATATATATATATATATATATATATATATATTAATCTCTGTTGAGAATATACCTTATCGGTGATTTTGAACATGAACTTTTATAACTGACTGTCATAGTGTCAAATGTTGATTTGGTCAAAAAATGTTGCTTCTGACTGGTTCAAGCAAAAACACTTCCCAAAGTGCAGCAGCAATAGAACAATCTGTCATGTTTGCAATGAGGAAAAATTGGCAAGGATTACAAAAGTTACTTAAGAAAGAACTTCACAAGGAAATGAAGCACAAAACGAAATGCCACATAAGTGGGATGTAGGGCAAATTCCTGAGGAGATCATAGAGAAATAGCAGAAGCTTGTAGGAGTTGGGTCAAGAAAGCTCAGTAAGAAACAGGATGCCACATTTGTGGCCTCACCATCTATTTCCCCAAGTTTATTGTTAATTCCAACATCGATCAAACTCATTATTTTGTCAGTTTCTTCCCATTCTGAAGTGAATGGTGGTGATCTTTTGGAATTCCCTTTAAAATTATATTCATCGGTTGAAGAATCACTCTAGTTAACTCTTGATGTTTTCTCATTTGAAGGATAGGCAATGATATCTTATTTAGACACATTTTTGATAAATACATGTCAATCAGGGATTTTGGCAATGACATTCTCCCCAGGGTTCAGGCTCTCTCCACAAATCCCCCATGTTCATAACCCAGTAGTCTCCATTCCCAGATCCACTCCTGCTTGTTCTTGTCCCAACAATGGTATGGTTGTTGACATGTTTGTTCTTTTTTTGTGTGAAAAATTGTTCTACTGACCACTGTGGATTTGATTTTCTTTACTAAAGGTTCTGAGTTATTTTCTATTGGAGACTATTTGAGAACCAATGGGGACTAATTGGCCAAAATGACTTCATCTTGTCCTTCATGTTCATCTCTTTTCTCTTAGAAATTAAGTGGATTTTCAGGGGACTTATAGGCTGGAGAGCATCCAAGGAGAAGGTCTGCAAATAGCACAGGATCACATTCTTTTGGGAGATCACTGTCCTCTTGTTGAGAGAGGTTATCTGTATGGTTAGTTCCTTCCCTGTTGACAGAAGAGGTGTGTGGGTTAGCAGGAGGCTGGAAGGAAAGCTTGCACACTCTGGAGATGTGTTGATTTAGAAATATTGTTGGTTGTGATTCATTCCATGAAAATCCAGAGGGGACATAATAGATGTTTGTTGCTGAGGTTGGGTTGAATAACTTTTACAATATTTTTGAGGGCAGTGTCAGAGGGGATAGCAGAGAGCACTCAGGTGTTGGGCCTGTGGAGCTGTTTCTATGGTTACTCATTCCTGCAGCAGAAATTGCTCTGTCAGAAGCGTTATCAGTTCCCAGGGAAGGAGCTCTTGCAGTTTCTAAAGAGCAAGGTTTCTTTGTAGCCGCTCTGTCCATGAGATCCCATAGAAAGTTCTTGTTTCCTGAAGGAAGCGTATCCAGAGAAGCAGATGCTACAGTTAGTGTCATTCTTCTTCATAGGCTAGGATTCAGTTCAATGTGTTGAAAGTTCAAAGGAACCGCAAGAGGTCCTAAAGAAGAATCTATTCCTGTTTTTCAGCCAATTCCATCCCCATTCCTTGGTTCAGGTTGCATCATTTCAACCTCTGCTTATATCATCATGTATCTTTCCCTCTGAAGTCATCTTTGCACTTTATGATATAGCTAAGAATGGTGGTATTTATGTCTCTTTTATCCATCTTTATAATAAAGGATTTCATATAATACACTAGAAGTCTGATGCACAAAATTTGTGCAAGAGTAGACCTTCCTTCTTCTGGCTGCTGGCACCAGCTTCCCTCTGGCACCTGGGACCCGGGTTTCCCCCAGGCGGCCGGCAGACACATGGGACTCAGGCTTCCCTGGAAGCCCTGGCTTCGTCTGGAATGTCATCCTGAAGGAAGTCCGGTCCAATTAGCATATTACGCTTTCATTATTACAGATAGAAACTTTATTATAGGATCTGTTATTTTAAGGTATTCCTTATAAATCTGGGAATGGGCATCTGGTAACCATCAGTCTTATATATACTCTTTTTCTAGGACTTTTTTTTTTTTTCTACAATAAATTGAAGGGACCTCTTACACCAAAGGAAAACAGAAAATTTGACAGCTTGAGTAATTTCACATTCATATTCAGTAAAGCATACATGTAGGAAATATATAGAGAAGCATTTTTCCCTTATCAGGCTTAGAGGCTCAGTTCCAAAGGTTAGCTGTAATCTTTACAGAGCAATAAAGTAAAAGTGAAATAAATAATTAGCATGGAATTTTTTCAAGAAAAATAACAAGCAGAAAATAAACTCTAAATATCATGTATTTCTTAAATTTGTGCAGTTTGCTTCTTTATTTTTAAACAAAAACAAAAAAACCACAATGCTGAATAAATGTAAATTTTATATAAATATTAAAAGTAAACCTTTTGGCATAATGATTTTCTAAACTGTCACTTTATATAAATTTTGAATTTGTTACAATCTGTTTAGGTTGTAGCAGGGCAAGAGCATTTGTGTTGCTTTTGATACAAAGGCAGCTGCCTTTAACTTAAAGAGCTTCCGCTTCAGCAATTTGCACTGTAATGTTTTAATTTTGGGACAAATGTTTATGAAATATTCTGAGTGCCTTTGTGTTTAATGGCTCTTCTCCCCAAAGGTATACTGTGTATACTGTGAAAATTATGTTATTGATTCACATCAATAAATTTATACTTCAGTTGATATTATTTTAAATGTAGCAAATGATATGAGAATATATCCTGTAAAGATACAATCAACCAGGTCCTTACTCTCTTATGCAGTGTAAATAGAACAAATGTGTATGGAATTAACCCTATACTGTTGTTGAATATCTCTCAGTAATTGTGCACAGTTCTTTGCTATGCCTTTTAGAATTCTTATTCTGGTTATTCTAAGTCACTCTAAACTAATTTGTTGTTTCTCCTCTGGTAGTATTTTTTGAATGTATGCTGCCCATTCTAAAATAAACATTTGTTGCGGATACTTTCCATGAAAACCAGATGGAGTTTTTAAGGCTTAATAATTGATGGCTTCATATAATTGCCCTTTCTGAGAATTTGAGAAAATTTTTTTTTATATGTTACTGTATCTGCAAGATGGCTTACAAGCATTATCATACTTATTCCTTATTGCAAATCTTTAGGTTTGGAATTGTTATTCTCATTTCATAAATGAAAACAAGACATAAAAAGGCTTCCACAAATATGAAGTAAGAAGACACAAGCCTATCCTATATAATAAAAGGCTAATATGCAAATTGACCAAATGGTGGGACAACTGGTCTTTGTGATGCACACTGACCACCAGGTGGCAGATGCTCAACGCAGTAGCTGCCCCTGGTGATCAGTACACTCCCACAGGAGGAGTGCCACTCAGCGAGAAGCCCTGAGCTGGGCTAACGGTTGGCGAGTGCAGTGGTAGTGGCAGGAGTCTCTTCCACCTCCGTGCCAATGCTAAGGATGTCCAACTGCTGGCTTAGGGCCTAAGCCAGCAGTTGGACATCCCACAAGGGCTCCTGGACTGCGAGAGAAAGCAAGCTGGGTTGAGGGACTCCCCACCCCCACCACCATGTGCACGGATTTTGTGCACTGGGCCTCTAGTCTGTGTATAAAGACCAACTCTTAGCCTCTACAATATATATAGTACTCCAGGTGATTCCTGTTTCAGCAGCATTGGCTCCTTCAAAGTGCAGAAGCAGGGTAAGCCAGAACTGCACTATTTGACAATCCGGTGCTCTACAGAGTGTTATGATAGCAATTTGAGAAGAGAATACAACCTGATGAAATTCAATAGTTGCTAAGGGCCCAGCACAGTAATAGCATATCTAGGATTAGCTGTTTGAATTTTAGCTACCTGGCTTGCTCACAACTTTCATTTGTTTGGACTTTTAACATTGAATTTGAAAGCCAAGTACTCATATATATGAAAACATTAAGTAACTGATATATTTCATGTTATATCTGTCTGCCAAACAAACTATTGTAATAAATTTTTCTTTTCTCTTTTTTCCTTTTTTTTTTTTTTTTTTTTTTTTAATGCAGTGGGATGCATTTTGCTTTTATGCTGGAGTTCACCCCTGTGGCTTGGATTTATCACAGTAGCATCTGTCTTCGGTCAGTTTGTTAACTAGAAATCAAGGCAAGACATGAGGAGGTTTGTTTATTGCAAGGTGGTCCTTGCCACTTCGCTGATGTGGGTTCTGGTTGATGTCTTCTTACTCCTGTACTTCAGTGAATGTAACAAATGTGATGACAAGAAGGAGAGATCCCTTCTACCTGCTCTCAGGGGTAAGTGCTTAATGAAATAAATGTTACTTTTATAGAAATAGGGAATGGTGGTGACTCATGACAAAACGTGAAACTTCAAAATAGGGTTGTTTTTTTGAAAACAGCTTACTGAGTTAGAGAACACTTTGGCAGAACTATTAATGTACATTTAACTGTGGTAAAGCTACTTTACATTTCTTGGCCACAGTTTCCTGTTGAAAGAAATGAGAAGAATGAAGTAACCTCTGAGGCAACTTTCCAATTCTAATAATTTCTATGTTCTGGGACTGTATGAAAAGAATAATTCAGCAAACATTCAAATTGGACAGAATTTTAAATGTAGGCTTCCAGAAGCAAAAGCCCTTAGAGAACAAGCATTTAACTTAAAGAAAGAAACCTATTAAAGTGATACAGTGGGAACTGCAGCAAAATTGAACTGTGCGTGACACCCCTAAAGACATCCAAACATAATAAAACAAACGAACGAACAAAAAACAAACAAACACTTTTTAAAAGAAAATACATTTTTTTGTGGCCAAATCCAGCCTGTGGGCCATCAGATTATTGTCCTACTAGAGGCAAATTGCACGGATTCCTGCATGTAGGGGTGGCCTCTGTGTAAGGGGAGGGCATCCCTCAGCCTGGCCCGCACCCTCTCGCAATCCAGAACCTCTAGGGGGATGTCTGACTGCCAGTTTAGGTCTGATCCCTGAACAGGCAGTTGGACATCCCCCAAGGGATGTAGCAGTGTGTCAAGCAGCAGGCGGCCAGGGAGGAGGCGCCACACTGTTTGAACTCATCTGTCAAACTGTTTGAACTCATCCCAGCTTGCTGCTCCTGCTGCTGCCTCTCAGTAGCACTGCTGCGGAGTCAGGAGAGGCTCCTGCCGCCACAGCTGCATTTACCAGTGGGAGTACACTGACTACCAGGGGCAGCTCCTGCATTGAGTGTCTGCCTCCTGGTGGTCAGTGCACATCATAGCGACTGGTCGGCCAGTTGTTCCAGTCGTTTGGTTGTGATGGTCACCTAGGCTTTTATATATATAGATATTAAGGACAAATGATAAACTTAAGTATATGATAGTCACTTTAACTCAATATTTACCTCATTTGGGACCAGTTTCAATGACTAGAGAAGCGTGAATTCCAAAGAAGCATAGTGATGTGTATGAATGGGGATTTATTGGACACTCCCGAGGGCTCTCGCAGTCCAGGAGCCCTCGGGGGATGTGCAAATAATTTTCTCTGCTTTTTGTCAACTATAAGGATATTCGTAGTAAATGAATGCTTCTAAAGCGTTTAAGGGTTCTTGAAATTAGTTTTATTCTCATTGAATCAAAACTTTTTTTCTTTGAAGTCTACTTTACATTAATTCTGTTTAGCAAAACTTTCTTCATAAATATGACAAAAGGTGAACTTTGAGTCCTATTTGAAATGTTTGTACCTTTAGGAAGAGTGAATATAAATGCCTTACTTGATATTTATATTTATTTAATGAATGTCATCAGCTTTCATTGTTATAGATATTTTTGAAGTTATTTATTAATTAATTTTCTAATAAACAGAATTTCATAGGTATTATATAGTTGTTGAGGTTTAGGAAAACACAGAAGAGCATTTCCAAAATATTAACTTTTGTCAAATGTATTTAGTACATCCTAAGTTTGCTTTTAGATTACAATAATGCCCTTACTCAATCTGAGAAATTCTAATTATCTTCCTCTATCCAAAATTAGTTTAACTTTCTCACTATAATTTTTGACTATTCAAAGATTTGAGAAAAAGTACTTCAGAACTTACTGAGCTATTTAAGTATTTTATATGCATCTTTTATACATTTATACTATAACTATTCAAAGTAGAGAACATAATGAGTCTATCAGATTTTGATAAATGAACATGGGTTTGATTTGCTGCTCTTTAGTTAAAATCCTAGAACAAATCAGCCCTCTCTGCTTCTTTGTTTGAATCACTTCAGTTGCTGCTGAAAGTGGAAATGTGTTTTGATGAATTATATTAGTTTGGAATGATCACTTTGTCATTTGCTGAAGGAGACATGTAGATTGGTCACAGAAAATGTTATAATCTGATTCAGCAAAATTATAATAGCCTTTTCTACAAGTACCAAAAAAGTACAGTCTCGCTGATTTAAGTTCTTAATGCTCAGTCTTAAATCTAAAAATGTGAACTGTAATGATACAATTCAAAAATAGTAATTTGGCCTTGTACTTAAATTGTGAAATTTAGCTGTATTCTCTTCATTTTTAAGAGTTGTTTAGTTGTATGTTATGCTTGTCTTAAATGTTTGGGAGTTTAGTTACATTTTCTATTTTTAGTTATTTTTTTCAGAATGTCACTTCATTTAGAATTTGTGCCATGTATTTAGAATATATTTTATTTACAGGCAGATGATGTTGTGCAAAGTTTACTTACCTGAAATGTTCATATTCAAAATAAGCTAAAACAGGCCTTTTTTTACTTGATAAAAATCTTTGGGGATCTGTTTCTCATCTATAATAATCTATAATAATAAAAGCATAACATGCTAATTAGACCAGATGTCCTTTTAGACATCCTTCTGGTCGAAGCCAGGTCTGTGAGGGAAGCACAGGTTCCAGGCACCAGAGGGAAGCTGGTGCTGGCAGCCAGGGGAAGGAAGGCCTACTCTTGCAGGAATTTCATGCATCGGGCCTCTAGTTATTAAAATAAAGGTTTGGGATGAGATGGTTTATAAGATCCCTTCTAGTTCTAAACATTAAATTTTAAACAATTTTTAAGTAACCAATATTAGCATACACTATGAATTAATTTTTTGAGAAATGTTCATTTATTAATCACATCCTCAATTATTTAAGTGCCTATGAAGTTAAATGTTGCATACCTTAAACTTACACAATGTTATATATCAATTATATTTCAATTAAAAAAGAAAGGAACAACAACAACAAAAGATCCTGAGCAAAAACCTAAGGACGTCTGAGCTCACAGGAGATGTAACAAGATTACCACAGGGTTAAAAGCCTAGGCTTTGTTGCCCTGACTGGTTTGGCTTGGATAGAACATTGGCTTGCTGACTGAAGGGTCCCAGGTTTGATTCTGGCCAAGGGCACATGCCCAGGTTGTGGGCTCAAATCCCAGTAGGATGCATGCAGGAGGCAGCCAATTGATGATTCTCTCTCATTTTTGATGTTTCTATCTCTCCTTATCTCTTCTTCTCTGAAATCAATAAAAATATTTTTTAAAAAATATTTTAAAGCCTAGGCTATGTTGAACAACCTGGTTCTTACTTCCTCCCCATTGAACTGGTTATGTGACATTTTGCAAATCTTACCTAATAAAAGAGAAACAAATTAACTATCACTCTGCTATACCCACAGCCAATCAGAGTGAACATGCAAATTAACCCATCAAAGATAGAGGTTAATTTACATATACAGGTGCAGAGCAGTGTGAAGTCTGCTATGAAGGAAAGGTGTGGGGGTTGGAGGGAGCTACTGGAGTGGTGCTCCAGACAGAAGTGAGAATGTGCTGGCTCTGGGCTCCCAAGCTGCCCAGGATCAGGGACTTGCAGGCTCCTAGGCGGCCAGGGAGCTGGGACTTGCTGGCTCCAGGGCGGCTGGGGATTGGGGACTTGCCAGCTCCTGGGCAGCTGGGGTGGGGAGTGGGGACTTACTGGCTCCTGGGCAAGGGGCCTCTAGTTCCTTAACAAAATGATATTCTCACTTAAAATTGGAAACTGAGAGAAAGTAAATTAAATCCTGTTTTACATGGTCTCCTTGAGAATTAAATGAGATGATGTACATAAACCCTTCAGGGGAGTATTGACTCTCAGTAATTTTTGTATCAATGTCTGCTAAATGTGGAGAACGAGACTGAAAGGTCTGAATGAGGCTCCACCTGGCATTGCTGTCCAAGGTAAATAGGGTCCAGAGTAGGGGACGAGGAGGAGCAGTTTTTCTGGATGAGACCCCAAAGGAGGAAGTAACTCTTTTAAAAATAATTTGTTAAGTGCCCACTACGTGTCTGTGGTAAGACCTGGAGATATAAGGGACCTGAGATCCTTACTACTGTCTTGAAGCTGATAGTCAATAGCAGAGTAAACAATTTCTTCCCATTCTTTGTCGCACTCTCTTTGAAAAATGTAATTTAGAAATTCTGAAAAGCATAATGTGTATAATGAGTATTAAGAAGACAAAGAGGGATGCTCTAAGTAGAGGAAAATAGATCTAAGGTAGTAGATAAAATTTCACAGACTGTGGCATTTAGGTTTAGGTTGAAAACATTAAAATACGAAATAACTAGTTAAAGAAAAAAAATGCTAAAATCTTTATGAAATGATAAAAGTTATTGAATACCCAGGATATTTCTTAAGGAGAAAAATATAGAAGTCTTATAAAATTAGAGTGATTAAATAGTAGTTTTGGTACAAAGGGACACAAAGACACAAATGGTGAGCACATTGCCCAGTGGAGCAGAATAGAAGTAGATGTACACATGTTTGGAACATTCAGTACATGGCAAAGGAAGCACTGCACATCAATGGGGAAGAGAATGGCTGTTCAATAAGTGGAGCTGAAAATAAAATGGGAATCCATGTGGAAAACAGATAAAATTGAATGTTTACTTCATGTCACAAACCAATATAAACTTTAGATGTATTAATGTCAAAACAAAACTAAAACTTTTTAGCAGGAACATGTAGGCATCTACTAGATCTTGAATTAAGAAAAAATTCTGGCCCTAGCTGGTTTGGCTCAGTGGATAAAGCATTAGCCTGCATACTAAAGGGTCCCAGTTTTGATTCCTGTCAAGGGCACATGCCTAGGTTGTGGGCTCTATCCCCAGTAGGGGGCGTGCAGGAGGCAGCCCATCAATGATTCTCATCATTGATGTTTCTATCTCTCCTTATCTCTTCCTCTCTGAAATCAATAAAAATATATTTAAAAAATTCTGAAACATTACACAAAAATTTGATCAGAAATAGAATATAGATAAATTTGATTGTATTAAAATTGAGAAAGT